CCTGGCTGTCTGTATACCCTGGCAGGTTTACCTCAGCCTCGTCCCAGGTCCGGACGTCAGGGAAGTACTTGAAGCAGTTGAGTTTGTAGTAGGACCAGCCATCAGGACAGTAGTCTATGTACCGGGCGCCTGCAGAGGGAGAGCCATGGGGAGGGATGGGGAACAGCCAGCACCACTGGGTGCAGAGGAGCATGGCTCCTCCTGGCCATGCTACAAAAGCAGCCGTTCCCCGAGCCGTGGCACTCACCAGCTGGCTGCAGGAGCCCCACACAGCCCAGCAGCAGGAGGACAGCGAGTCTGCCTGCTGCCACCATCCTCCTCGCTGCCTGTAAAGGTTTGGAGAGGTCACACAAGGTCCCCTGGGGACAGGGAATGCCACCTTTGCATGGAGAGTGCAAACCCATCCTGCTGTGGGCTGAATACATTCCCTTTCAGCCATCTGGAGGAGATGGCAGCCTCAGGGGCTGTGCTTCCCTCTCCCCTCCCTGATGCAGGTCCCATACCCACACCCCATGCCCCAGGCACAGCTCAGGGTCCCCAGCCCACACTGGCAGGAGGGTGTCCCAGCCTCAACAGGAGGCATCCGGGAAGACGAGCTGTTCTGTGGGCACAGGTCAGGGGAGTCCAGCCTTGCTATCAGGCAGCAGCAGCAATGTCACAGGCAGAGACAGGACCTGTAGGGCTGCAGAGAATACATGTACAGCATCGTTTTCATGCTATGAGCCCTGAGCTCGTAGCACTGCCCAGGCTGGGGAGGCAAATTGGCCACATCAGCTTAGTTTTCCTTTATCTGGGCTAATCCCTGGGCACTGGGGCTGATTTGCAGACTCAGCTTGTCTTCCCCTCAAAGAAGCAGCAACAAAAGTCAATGCAGGGCTGAAAAATGCATCATCCCAGCCTGCCCCATCCAGCAAGGGCAGAGCTCAGCTCCCCTGGGAGCTGCTGGGGCTGGCACCAGCTCCTGTTCACCCACAATCCAGTTCTGAGCGTCCCAAGGCCCCAGATGCCTTGTGAGGGTCCCCTTCCTCACCTGTTGTCCGGAGATGAGGAGGAAT